TTTATATTTTATAATTTTGTTCTCTATTTTATCACCTATTTTATCTTATAATTTTAAAGTCAGACACTTATAGTTTAGAATGAGTTCCTTTGGATAACTCTACATATTTTTTTTTCTTAATTCTTTTCAGTTATTGGTTTATTAAAATGATTAATTGATCATTCTTTATTGTTATAATATTTATTATTTGTGTATAAATAACTTTATATTGACAGTTGCTACCTGTAAGCCTGTAACCATAGATTACTGTGTATAACCACAGGGGCATTCTTAGATTTTATTTTTATTTTTTATTTTATTAGTTTGGCAAAGGCATGTTAACCCATTCTGCTTAGTCTGAAGTTTATAGATTCATTATTCTTACAATTTTTTGGCGTCAGACTACAAGTTTTTGGTAATTTTAATACTAAACTGATTGTTTTATTTCTTTAAGTTGTTGTTTTGTTAAATGTTTTCTCTTTCACGCTGCTGGTGGTTGTAATTGTGTAGGTACTGTTTGATTTTGCATTTATATTTATATATATTATTTTTATTTATTTGTTTATTTTAGTATAGCATTTATGACATCCTCAAACATTTGTAATGATAGTGATTTGTTTCTTTCGTTGTCTTCAGATGATGAGACACTTAGTGATGCTAGTTATCACAGTACAACTGCTTCTCCTTCACTCAACATCACCTTAAATTCTTGTTTCTCAGACTGTGTGAATAACTTCAATGCTATTCATATTAACGCCCAAAGCATTGCGCTCATTATCCTGACATGTTTGCGTCATTTGAATCCCAAAATATTCACACCATTTTAGTTTCAGAATGTTGGCTAAAACCCTGTTTCCCTTCCACTTCCTATTCTTTGCCTGGGTTTCATCTAATTAGAAATGATCGCACTAATAGGGGTGGTGGGGGCGTGGCGATCTATCTTAGATCCTACTTTCCATTTAAAATTGTTAGTTCGTCAAGTCAACCATCTCCTGTTGATTCTGCTGAGCATTTGCTGGTTGAAGTCTCCCTGTCTCAGAATAAAATCCTACTTGGAGTTTTTCACCGTCCCTCTATTTCTGTAAACTATTTTACTTCTTTCGAATCTCTCTTAGAATCACTAGTCCCTACGTATAGTCACACTATTTTGATGGGTGACGTTAACACCTGTTTGCTTAAAGGCGACAATCGGGCTATAAAACTTGAGTCTATAACTGAATCGTGTAATATGCAAATCCTACCCCATTCTGCTACTCATAACTTTCCTAACAGTACTCCTTCCCTTCTTGACTTAATAATGGTGTCATCTTCAAATCTAGTTTTCTAGCATGGACAGTGTCCTGCTGATGCATTCTCTTATCACGATTTAATTTTTCTTACGTATAAACTACGCCCTCCTAAAATCAAACCTGAATTTGTTCTGCGACGTAATTATGGAGTAATGGATACTGACCAACTTTGTCAAGATGCTCTTAATATTGACTGGTCAGTGATTGAGAAAGCTCCATGCATTGGCGATAAAGTGGAACTTTTTTGTTCCATACTCACGCAGCTTTAGGATGTTCACGCGCCAATACATTATGTGAGACTCAAACACTTGCCTGCTCCATGGCTCTCAGATGATCTGAAACGGCTTATTTTAAAGAAGAATGCGGCATTGTCAAAGCTTAAGAGGAATAAAACGGATGAAAACTTAAGGAAATACGCCAAAATCAGGAATCGCTGCAACACATTATGTAGAGATGCACAACAACGCCATATTCATATATCAGTCGAGAACGGCGGCTCATATAGGGTGTGGAAGTTTCTTAAAACAGTTGGAGTTGGTAGAACATCCCTACATGCTTCACCTCCCAGTGTTGATTTTGAACTATTAAATCAACATTTTTCTAATCCTTCTAACAAGAGTATCAAAAGATCTAGTATACATAAACTGCAAACACTTCGTTCTCTTTCTGTAACTCCGACTCCTAATTATCCTCCGTTCGTTGTTAGTCAGTTTACTGTATGTGATGTTAAGAAGATCATATTATCCATCTCCTCAAATGCTGTCGGTAGCGACAACATTAGCCGTAATATTATTATTCCTCTCCTTGATGTTATCACTCCCATTATCACTTATGTACTTAATGCATCTATCTCTTCCTCTAAATTCCCTCAAGCCTGGAAGAATGCTCATGTTATACCCCTTCCGAAGAGATCTAATCCCGTCAACCTCTCTGATTTTCATCCCATCTTGATCTTACCTTTCCTTTCTAAAGTCTTTGAAAAACTAATTTGCCAACAGCTGACCCTTTTCCTCAATATGCACAATTTATTAAATTCTTTACAGTCCGGTTGCCTTCCTTAATCAAAGTTACTGATGACATACGGTGGGGTATGGATAAACTAAAATGGGGTGGGGTAAACAACTCACAGTCATGACCTTGCTGGATTTCAGTAATGCGTTCAATACTGTTGACTATGATATACTGTTGAGTCTGTTGTGTTCCCTTAACATATCTCCATCAGTAATTAACTGGTTTCAAAGTTATCTCTGTGGCCGTCGGCAGTGTATTCGTTTCGATGAAACTCACTCATCTTGGTGTGATATTACTGCAGGCGTGCCGCAGAGCGGCGTCTTGTCACCTTTACTCTTTTCCATTTTCATTAATTCAATTACTCATAAAATATCTTCTCTCTACCACATGTATACGGATGATGTCCAGATTTACACACAGTCAACTCTTGAGAATTTGCCAAATGCAATCGCTACATTGAATAACGATTTAAATATTATTCATGATTGGAGTTAATCATATGGCCTAAATGTGAATCCTAAAAAGTCTCAGGCTATCATTATTGGTAGCCAGAGTTTTGTCTCAAGAGTTGATTGGTTCACCGTACCACTTATAGTATTCGATGGAGTTGTCCCTTACTTCCCTTACTTTGACAGTATCAAAAACCTTGGTATTTATATTGATAATTCCTAAAATTAGATACGCCAACTGAATGAGGTAAGTAAGAAAACCTTTGTCGCTCTTTGTTCACTGCGTCGCCTTCGATCATTTCTTCCCATTCCTACAAAAATTATGCTCGCACAGTCTCTTCTCCTTCCGATCCTCGACTATGCTGACGCAAGCTATGAAGACATAACTGAGGACCAGCTAAATAAGCTTGAGAGACTTTAAAATGCTAGTATTCGGTTCATATTTGGATTGCGCAAATATGACCATATTTCCCAATTTCACTCACGTCTCGAGTGGTTACCTATCCGACTTCGCCGGAACATGCATATTCTTTCTATTCTGTACTGTGTATTATTTCATCCTTCTGCTCCTCCCTATCTAAAAGAGAAGTTCAATTTGGTGGAGCTACCTCTATGCTCTTCTAGAAAATTAGTTTTAAGGGTACCAACTCACAAAACATCTTTTTTTAATAAATCGTTCACTGTCGAGTCTATTAAGCTCTGGAATGCCCTACCTTTGCACATACGTGAAGCACAATCTATTGTAATCTTTAAGCGACTACTTAAAGAACATTACTTGTCTCAATCGTTCGGAGACTGTTAGTATAATTATGTGATTATGTATTTATTATATTTATCAGCTTTATATTATTGTTTGAGGAAATTTGTAATTTATTTATGTATTTTGGGTAGATATGTAAGTTTGTTTATATACACTTATTTATGTATGTTTATGTATATATTATATGCTTTACTTTATCTTTAATTATGAAGTAGTAATTTATATCATTTCATGTGTTAGTTATTTATATGTTATTTTATTGCATTAATTGTCTATATATCGCATGTATTGATATTATATTTTGTATAATTATATTGCACCACCTACCCAGTATTCATTGTTTATTCCTTTACACCCTTGGTTGCCTGGAAGAGATCGCTATGTAGCGATAAGGCTGCCAAATTGTACATTTAACCTGTCTATTGTTATGTAATTTGTTTATTTGTTTGTGGTGTACAATAAAGTATATTCATTCATTCATTCATGATTTAAATGGGCAATTAAATGTACACGTTTCGTGTTTCTTAACCAATCTTCAGCATGTAAATATGGCATTCAGTCATTTATTAATTACAACCTATTAAAATTAAAAAAATAAAATAGATTGCCTCATAGGCGGGAAGACTGCCATAGCTCTAACGCTTGGAAGTCGCCATAGGCTAGGCTTTATGATAACAGGAGATGCTCCTGCCCTTCTGTTTCAGTTTCCCTTTGTCATCTCTTACGTCATACACGGGATAATATGGGGTAATTGACATTCTTACACCGCCACTACACAACGCAAATATATCATAGCACATGCAAAAACAATGTGACATTAGAAAAAAGGCACACAGCGATAGTAATTATTGTTGTTAAATTTAGGATGACTTAGGATAGGAACGTTAGTGAGAAGTTAGTTCAACGAGCAGCTCCAGTGTAAGTTGGTGGATTTCACAACATATTCTCGAAATATCTTTGGTGTTAGCAGGAATCAAAATCGCATTGCTCCCGTATTATACAATTTACGTCTATTTTTAACCTGGTGCTTGCAAATTGTGGCGATTACAACGAATCCCACCTATAATCTAATGGAATCGTATTCATCATTGGAATGTTGCATGTGCTGATAATAAATAATAATTATAAGTATACTGTATAAAACTATTTATACTGATTTTATCGCGTTTGAATTTACTTTAATTTGCGGCGTTTTCAGTGCTTTGCAGCACCCATGGATCCTTAAAGCCCCTATGACCATGGTGCTGTCAATCTGTAAAAATAGTTTTATTTGTGTAGTGTTCGTGTAAATTTTAGTAAGCATTAATAAATTTACTGTTATTATTTTTTTCTACGGCCTGTCAATAGTCCACAGCTGAACATTTTCTGTTTCATTTCACTCTGTCACCTTTTAAGACACCGAGAACTGACGGCATGGGATAGTGGAATCTCTTATGCCCTACACATCACTCTTAATTTATTTACCAAGTAATTAAGACCATTAAATCAGTAACAATTATATCTTTGTTTCAGGATAAGAACGTGTGCCCAGAAACTTTTACCCACATCGTAAACTCAATGGTATCTTTGAATACGTAGTCGTAAGACTTGTGTAAGTTTTATATTTACGATTTTTTTTTGCTAAAAAAACAACAGTGTTATAGTTTCGGACTATAATAAAGTGAATCGCAATGACAGTGACATTTCTACTCAAATAATTAACACCGGAGTGTTAAAATGTTTAATTTGCGAAGTAAGTGGTTGAACAACGAAAATCGAGACACGTGAACAAAATGACATCCCTGTTGCAAGCTGTCATGATTTGCATTGCGTTTCAGTTTCTTGGTAAGTTACTTTTGATGTTGTCTTAAATGTTACTTTAAAATATTAAATGGAAATATTAATTCAATATGTTTAATAAAAAAAATAACTGAAGGTTACTGACGACGGATTCGCTGGATGGTAACGCAGTGGCTAAACTTATCCATTTCTACCGTAAACTACGAGTAGCTGTGCTTGCACTTTTTTGTTACGGTGTGATCGATAAAGAAAGACGCAAAAATAATTACCACGCAACATTTCAGAATTTGATTTAGATATATCATATACCATAAATAATTTTCACGTATATTTTAACATAAATCATATGAGATTTTTTTATATCCTCGTATTATATATACATAATAGTACATACTTTAAACTATAATGAGAAGAATGAGAAAAATTATAAATTATTCAGATCAATATAATGTAATGTGTAATACTGGGTACAATAATTTAAAACATGCTGCAAAAAGAATTAAGATGAATGAAACTGACTTTATTAGTTTCTTTTATTTCCCCACTCACATAAAACTTTTCAATAAAAGCAATGTGAAAGGGCGTCGCCATAAATAAAACTAATGGAGGAAAAGTAACCGGTTAAAGGAAAAAATAACAAATACCCCACATAAAACTAAGACCCCATGATTTGCGGTTAAGTTGCAATTTTCTTTTCTTTTCGTTTCTTTTAATGTATCAATGTATTATCTGCAAATATTTTATGTACGTATGAGTGATACGTAATACTCGTAAATTACAATAGAAAATACTTAATAAATATGTGGCGTTATCATATGTATCTCGTTCACGCCAGATTTAAAATAACCAGACCTTTAAAAATTAAAAAATCAGGTGAAAATCTATAGGTGCAAGGTTAGGACTATAAATGCATAAAAATGTGTGGTGGATGCATAAAAATTTCCCAACCAAACTATCTCAACCATTCTGGTGTCGACGACTCCGTGGCGCAGTGGCTTAGCAATCAATTGTTGTGCTGGGGGCCGCGGGTTCGAATCCCGCACGGTACAAGTATTTGTATGGCCTACCAATAATTGTTACGAGTCTGGATGTTTGTCCTTGTACAATTTATGTTTGTAAACTGCCTCCACGACACAGGAGAAAATCCTAGTATGAGGGTAACGTTTTTTTTTAAAAAAAAAAAGAAGAACCATTCTGGTGTTATTAAGATGAAAGACTCCTTTACCCTGTTGATTAATTCCGTCCATTTTTTCTCAATTTCTTGCTTGAGTCTCATTAGTTATTGGCAGTAGAGATCCGGATTGATGGTCTCACCCGGCGGTAAAAGCTCATAATAAACGATGCTCTTCTAATCCCACCATACACACCCATCTTACCCACTTTATTGCGTGTTAATCCGGGTTCCGCTACAGTCTGTGGAGCTTGACTACCCTTTGAACATGATCTTTTTCACGCGTTATTGTCGTAGGTGATACACTTTTTGTCATTAGTGATCAATCTTTCCAAAAATAATTTGGTTTCATTACGTTTCAATAGACAATCACTAATGATTACACGATTCATTAGGTTTCTTTGGGTTTCTTTCCGTGAGCTCATGTGGTACCGAAATATCGAGCTTGTTTGTATAAGCAGACTTTTGCAAATGAGTTAAAACTGTTTTGATGTCAATCCTCAATTCCTCAGCTATGTCGTAATTACTAATATGCCGATTTGCTCTACTTTTTGAAAAATGTCATCGACTTTATCCATATGAGCGCCACCAGAGCAAGCTGCATCTTTGACATCAAAATGAAAACGCTTGAACCAACTTTGTGTTACTCTTACTGATACTGCATTAAGTCCGTAAACGGGATTATGTAATATTTTTCGCATCTTGAATCGCATTTTCCCTTTTTTTGTAATAAAATTTCAGAATGTATCGAATTTCTTCATTAGGCACTAATTTTGGCGGACAGAAAAGTTTTTTTACTTTTTATTTTTCTTTTTCTTAAAGTCCTTTATGATTTAATATATAAACCAGCCAGATACAAACAGTAAAACCAAAGAGATTTTTCTTAAATTTTATACAAACAATATATATAAGAAGAAACTTTTTTCCCGACCTATTGTATACATGTAATGTATTTAGACTTTATTCACGATATTTTTGGCCAAAGGCTTCTATTGTGGAAACTCAGTTATTCAGTTGGCTATGAGAGTGGACTATGCTGAAAGTTTTTCTGCGTAATAAAATCCGTAATGAGGATATCCGCAGTAGGAATAGCGTGACTGACATAACTAAACGAATCAAATTATCTGAAGTGAAACGAATTGCTCTTGTTGTTCGAAAACCCGATACCGGATGGAGAATAAAGTTTCTCGAAAGATAGCCTTAAATTAGCAAACTTAGTAAAGTCTATTAGATGGAGCGACGACTTCATGAGCTATTTAGTCAATGGATTTTTTTTAAGAATAAGGGTGACAAACGAGCGCACAATCCACCTGTGATGATATGTGATGGTATGTGGTTACTATGGCTCATTAGACACCTACATTTATCCTTGACTAAGAGTCAAAATGCAGGTGCGTTGTCACCTCTGAGAACTAAGATGAAATGCCTCGTTTCCATTTAAATGGTCTACGGTTCTCTATACACACCATACGAACACAGCAGCAAATATTCTGTGAGAGCGTGGTACTTCCCCGGGAGAGCCGAACCATTCCTGCTTAACCCTTAGTATAGTTGCAGCATGGCTCTACCGCGTAATGATGCAGATGAATAAAACCATTATTTGTGGCGATCTATTTTGTTAATGAACTAGTCCCTATACTAACATATAATTGTAACAATAAAAAGGGACTCCGATATTCTACACTCACTGTACAATATCACCACTACCCTGCTATTGGAATCTGGCAATGTTTTATTGTTTTTCAACAGGCGAGCAGATCCATTCGTTCTGCATCTATACATACAGCGGCATCTTGATTCTAACAGCAAAAAATTTTACTTCATATTTTTATAAAATATTTACCTATCAGCCCGTAAACAGCCCAGTACTGAACATGGGCTTCTTCCATTGCTTGGAGAATTTCACATTATCCTAACCAATGAGATTAACTCTGGCACTACTAGACGTAACAACTTAACCCCTGTGTCCCGTCGACGATCTGAATATTCGTTTTCTTAAATTAATCGTCGCTTACGTCAATCACTGATTAGGTTCCGCCACCTTCATGCTAATTCTAAAAAAATTTTTGACGTACAATATGATACAATAATTTTGAAAGTACTCGAATCCTCAAAACCTATTAAGTAATAGAAAACCAATGCTCAAACAGTTACTTTAATGACGATATTAAATTCTAATTCAATTTGTGTAATTCAAAGGTTAGGTTAATTGGAGTCATATTTAAACCGCAAATCATGACATCTCATTACTAAACTGAAGATATATTTTTTTTTATTATTCCCTTGTTTATTGTTCATTCGTTCGTTTCCAATTGGTTTTATTCATGAAAATTTCCCTGGAGTCTCTTTTGTTTGAAAAGAGAATAGAGTACTGAATATTGGTATATTTGTTTATCGTTTCGAACAATACTCAAGATTGTTATTTGTTCTTTTTGTCGCAACATGTGCTCATATACTAAAAAATGCTGAAGAACGATTGCGGGGTGGTGAAATTAAATGCTTGTCGTGAAATCGTAGAAAAATTATATTTTCACACAAGTTATACAATTTTAGTAGCGATAGTCACTAATACGTAATAACAATGGTAGAAGCGCATATCGAGCAGTCTCTATGTTCATAGCAGTGGAAAACTAACTGTTGACATAATCATGAACATCATTATTTCATCATTGTTTGAAATTGATAGATCGCTATTGAAATATAAAGAACATGTTGCGCCATCTCTTGATAAAGTGCCTTGTAGTGTGAATTGTAATGTGGTGTTACAATGTTGATATTGCAATTTTTCTAACGTCACTATAACTAAGTCGAAAAGAAAACCACAAAACTTAAAAAAAAAACAAATTTGTGACATATTTACAAGATGGTAGTAGTTTTATGAAAATGTATACTTCTTCACTGTCTAGGCGGACTTGTCTGTGTTTATACCACACTCTTCCTCTCCGTAAAGCAGCCAATGCTGTATTCAACTCATGTAGAGATAAAGCCAGTATTGTGAATAAGTGTATAGCTCAAGATTGGCAACGAAAATGTAGCCTTCTAACCTTCTATATTTTAAGTTCCTTATTAATTTTTTTTTTGGTGAAAAAATTAAATAACTAAAAGTCTAATTGTGATAGAGCACATACAAAACAATCCTATTTAATTATCTATAATATTGACAGTTCCTTAGTTCTGTGGCTAAAGGTTTAGTCGCAAAGATTATGAGCCGCGGGTTCGAATCCCGCCTGAAATAAGTGTTAGTATTGCCTACAAATAGTAGTTTCGAGACTGGATGTATCCGTTACCGCTAAAGTTACAGCCTATTAAAGTCCACTGCTAAATACAGACCACCCCATCGATTGCCTCATAGGAGGGATATTTGCCATAGTTGCCACGCTTAGCAAGCAGGATGGCAACCGCATGTATGTCTTGGTAATTTATGTATGTTAACTACCTAAATCATAGAAAAATTGCTAGTTCAGGTGAAACATTAAAGAAAAAGAAAACAATGTATATTTTGGAACACAAACATTACATTGAATATTTCTTGAAAGAATAATTGCTCTGTATTTAATAAAGACACTGAAGCATAGCTAGTTTCTCGTAGAATGACGTCTCATCTTATCCACGTATTCCTTTGCGGCGTGAGTAAAACGGCGGACAACAACTAGTAGTGATAAGTGTAAAAATAAAACATTTGATCGTCGTCATTATTCAGAGTTTTACTGTAAGTTCGAACATACTAACAGTGCACCTGATGATAAGTGGCTACAGCAGTACATGGACCATTGTAGCCAAATTCATCAACGTTGACTACAGAACAGATGTGTTGTCAACTCTGAAGACTAATTTGCAATCTGTAATTATACTGACTCTCTATACCCATCAGACT